TTTGCCCACCGGCTGCCTGGCGGGTCAGAGGTTCCTCTACTGATGCTGTTCTAAAATCTGATTTCTGTGCTTCAGTTCTCTGCAGCAAAACCAGCATCCTCAGCCGCTCTGGAGGGTTTGTGTCGTTTATCTGATTGGGGTTAAAATTCTACAAATGACAGGACATTTAGCCGTTTGTCGCTTTGTTTTGTGATGCTTCAAACGGCTTTTCCAGGTGTTTCCAGGTGTTTCCAGGTTGCTGCACCAGTCTTCAGTCCTTCACTGTAATTAGCAGCAGGTGTGAAGGATCCAATTAGCAGAGAACAAACAAAGAATCTGCTGCTGCTGCCGGCGGCGGCGTTCAAATGTTCGAAGCAGCCAGAAAATACCCGCGACTTCCTCTCACCAAAGCTAAAATGTGCAGATGTTTGCAGACGGGAAACGATGTTCGGAAACACAAACATACAAACAATCTGCAAAGACAACACTCAAATTAAAACATTTAATTGTTTAGAAAGTCCCATTTTATGCTCCTGGTTTTTAACTCCTGGTTTGCTGGCCCCGCCCCCTCCAGGAAGAAGACTCTCTGTGAGTTCGCAGCACCGTTGTTGTCGTTTTTAAACTTGTGTTTGGTGAGTTTTTGCAGACGATGTTGTCAAATTTCTGTCTTAGCTGCAGAACGGCGATGTGGACGTGGTTCTGAGTTGACTGCTGGTTAACGTTTTGTATTAATGAGCAACGTTTCAGTCACTGTTTCACGCTTGTTTCATTGTTTGTCGACAGAAACAGGACATTAGGTAAATAAAACAACTTTGTCGGAAGTTGAGCTGCATTAAAATGTCGATCATGTGAGCACAGGGAGCAGGAGAGAAGCTAACAGATGAGTTTAGGGTAAACACAATAACCCACCCAGTCCTCGTTAACTGGTTTAGATTAAAGTTTCCACACAGCTCAGACCCGTGGGCCGAAACATCAACGCTAATGTTAGCCACGCTAGCTGCACAACATGCTAACGCTAAGGGTCTTGTGGTGACATGACCAGTAACTCACTGGATCTTTACTTCCTGGGAGCGCATAAAGACTCTTGTGTTCACTTTTACGGCCAACAGCACAACATTTGGTGAGTTTTAAAGAGTTTAGCAGAAGCAGCTGTAGAATCAAAGTGAGGGGGTGGAGCTACACAGAGCTGGATGACCATTGGTTAACTAGCTGTGAGGTAGCATCTGGGTAAAAGTCTTACTAGCTTATGAGGAGAGGAGAGGAGAGGACAGGAGAGGAGAGGAGAGGAGGTCAGTACATCATTAGAATCCTCCGGCAGTCTAAAGCTGTAGCAGCATCACTAAGGAACAGTTCAGATGATCCTGAGCAGCTCTAACTATCAGCTTCATCAAAGAGGAACGTTTTAAGCAGGACCTTAAAAGTAGAGACGATGTCTGACTCCAGAACCCAAACTGGGAGCTGATTCTATAAGACAGGAGCTGATAACTGAAGGCTCTGCCTCCTGTTTACTTCTGGAAACTCTAGAACCACCAGTAGACCTGCAGTCTGAGAGCGAAGCGCTCTGTTAGGATGATACGGTACCATAAGGTCTGTAAGGTACGATGGAGCTGCTCATTGAGAGTTTTATATGTTAAAAGCAGGATTTTAAATTCTATCCT